CTACTCCCTAAAACAGAGCCACTGTTCAACCCATCTTACTCTAGGCTGGATGTCTGACTGCTGGTAGGCCCAGATCACACAGTTTACTAAAGATCCCACGAGCCTGCATGCACGGTCAGAGAACCCCTCCCACTCTTGAAGCTCTCCTAGCTGGAATTAAAATATAGTCCTTACACCATTGTTTTATTCAGAGAACATGCAGAATCCACAGAACCAGAAGAAGGCCCGGGAAAACCCACACAGAGTCCTTTGACTATGATAGCTTTGCTTAAGCTTCCCTTAGCTGCTGCCTTTGGGATACCCCTCAAGAGGGTTTTTCTAATGCAGAGGGTGTCGTGGCATAGTTATTACATTCTCAGGCTGCAATAACTTTCTGTTGTTGTCAGTACATCGCACTGGTCCTGACTGAGCTCTTTCTGAGAGCGGGGTGGCTCCTTTCCCTTCCTCCCCTCCACACTGGAAATAATGGGAGAATGACTGGGCTCTGTGTTTCTAGATGGAGATGCTAGGCTGCTAGTAAGGGGGCATTTTGATTTAATCAGAATGATGGTGAGTTTCGTGTTCTTAGCATCAACCCCTGCTGCTTAATCAGGAATGGTGCGCAATTCAGCTTCCTGGATCAAATTGACATGGGACTTGTATAAAGACAGGGAAAGTCAGATAAATTGGTTGAATTAAGAAAGCAATATTAGATCACCAATGACCACAATATTTTTGACTTTAACCTTTCTAGTAAAAGGCAAACAGCAAATACCATGGTAAAGTCAAATACTATGGCACAGTAAATGTTGATTGTCTCATTCCTTGCAGTGTACAGGGAAACCTAAGGCTTTTGTGACAGTGACATTTAAACACTGATCCCCAGCTGCCATGTATTTCAGGAATGGGCTAGATTATTTCACCATGGACCAGATTGTCTGAACCTGCAAGATCTGAATCTTTCCCCACAGCTAGATGGGAGCTGTATGGGGCTGGAATGCCTGCCTTTAGATGAAGGTACCCCAAAACAAAGAATAAAAAATATTGTCTGATATGGGAACAAGAGAGCAGCAATTCTAAGCTGATCACTCTACTGATCACTATCACAGTGTTGGTATTTCTCAGGAGCCTAAAGTATTGATTTTTTTTTGAGCCACTGAACACAACACTTTAAATGTGTCTGTTTTTGTAGCTCAGAACGGATTCCTGAAGAAATTCACAAGGTCTGTGGGGATCGGAGTACTGAGTGGAAGCATACGCTTCCTGCACAGGAGATACTGACTAGGAAAAGTGCCTAAACTGAGAGATTCAGATCTGCAGGACTACGGAAGTTTTAAAACAATGCCTGATCCTAGAATCATCATCACGGCAAAGCCAAAAGGGTCATGACCTCCTTGCTGATGGAGCTCCAGCTGGACCTTTTGGGATACTGAAATGGTCCTTTTGCAAGGTTTCATTGGTCATTTTTGCCTCAGCGGCAGAAAAACTCCTGGCTGTTTTAGCTACCAGACTGTTGCAGCTGGTCAGCTTCAGTATAAACTCCCTCAGGACACAAATATACTGACCCCAGAGATCCTAGATCTTAAATGTCATCAATGTGGAAAAAGAGGCTTGGGGATCGACAGTGTAGGTGCCACAAAGGGTGCAATTGCATGGGCTGGAAGAGCCGTTCTCGGTACCATAAAAAGGTATTCTGCTATGACAAGTAACTCCCCATTTTTTTCTCTCTCTTGCCTGGTCCTTCAAAACATCTTGGCAAATCTTGTCAACCTTGATGAATTCTGTGTGAGAGGCTGTAACTCCCATGGTAAGGTGAGGATGCTTAATGGAAAGGTTTTATGCAAGGTGGAATATATCTCCTTGATGCATGACAGTAGCCATCTCACTAATGTAGGCTTTGAGCCTGGGAGTCCAAGTATAATTTGTTCAAATCAAATAAAATGTATTAGTCTTGCCAACATTCACATTGCTCAATATCAACCAGATCATGTAATCTAGCCCTCTCTCGTTTACTAGAACGTTTCTTGTTTCAAGGCGGCCATGGAAATGAGATGCTACTTTTAACACAAAGAACACAGGACAGAAATAATATGATTACCAATATCGCACAGCTTATGGCAGAGTAGCCTGTGAGCAAGGTCTGCAGGTTTTAAGGAGGAAAAGGAAAGTTGCCGCCTGGAATGTAATTCAAAAGAATTTTATTAAGGAATCAAACTCTAGCTCCATACAAAGCTGTATTAGTCCTATAAAGGATCTCAAATACTTGTAGGGTGGGAGTAGCTTTTGCTATGTCTTTTACGGAGGAATATTTCCTTTAGAGAAAGACATACTGTAGTGAATCTGACCTGGAGGCCTTATTAAAACTAGGGCTGTCCAGCGATTACAAAAATTAATTGTGATTAATTGTGCGATTAAGCGTGCTGTTACACAACAACAGAATAGCATTTATTTTAATATTTTTGGATGTTTTGTACATTTTAAAATATATTGATTTCAATTACAACGCAGAATACAACATGTACAGTGCTAACTATATTTATTTTTGATTACAAATATTTGCACTGTAAAAAACAAAAGAAATAATATTTTGCAATTCCCCCATTACAAGTACTGTAGTGCAATCTCTTTATCATGAAAGTTGAACTTACAAATGTAGAATTATGTACAAAAAAACTGCATTCAAAAATAAAACAATGTAAAAGTTTAGTACCTTCAAGTCCACTCAGTTCTACTTCTTGTTCAGCCAATCGCTCAGACAAACAAGTTTGTTTACATTTGCAGGAGATAATGCTGCCCGCTTCTTGTTTACAATCTCACCTGAAAGTGTGAATAAGTGTTTGCATGGCATTATCGTATCCAGTGTTGCAAGATATTTATGTGCCAGATGTGCTAAAGATTCATGTGTCCATGCTTCAACCACCATTCCAGAGGACATGGGTCCATGCTGATGATGGGTTCTGCTCGATAACGATCCAAAACAGTGCAGACCAATGCATGTTCATTTTTATCATATAAATCAGATGCCACCAGCAGAAGATTGATTTTCTTTTTTGGTGATTCAGGTTCTGTATTTTCCGCATCGGAGTGATGCTCTTTTAAGACATCTGAAAGCATGCTCCCCACCTCGTCCCTCTCAGATTTTGGGAGGCACTTCAGATTCTTAAACCTTGGGTCCTGTAGCTATCTTTAGAAATCTCTTTTCATTTTGTCAGATCTGCTGTGAAAGTGTTTGTAAAATGAACAACATGTGCTGGGTCATCATCTGAGAATGCTAGAACATTAAATATATAGCAGAATGCGGGTAAAACACAGCAGGAGGCATACAATTCTCCCCCAAGGAGTTCAGTCACAAATTTAATTAACACATTATTTTTTTAATGAGCATCATCAGCATGGAAGCATGTCCTCTGAAATGGTGGCCAAAGCACGAAGGGGCATATGAATGTTTAGCATATCTGGCGTGTAAATACCTTGCAGTGCCAGCTACAAAAGTGCCATCCGAGCATCTGTGCTCACTTTCAGGTGACATTGTAAATAAGAAGAGGACAGCATTATCTCCTGTAAATGTAAACAAACTTGTTTGTATTAGCAGTTGGCTGAACAAAAAGTAGGACTGAGTGGACTTGTAGGCTCTGAAGTTTTACACTGTTTTGTTTTTGAATGCAGTTATGTAACAAAAATTATCTACATTTGTAAGTTGTGCTTTCACAATAAAGAGATTGCACTACAGTACTTGTCAGAGTGCAATTGAAAAATACTATTTCTTTTTATCATTTTTACAGTACAAATATTTGTAATAAAAATAATAATATAAAATGAGCACTGTACACTTTGTATTCTGTGTTGTAATTGAAGTCAATATATTTGAAAATGTAGGACACCCAAAAATATTTAATAAATTTCAATTGGGATTCTATTGTTTAACAGTGCAATTAAAACTGCGATTTTTTTTAATTGTGATTAATTTTTTTGAGTTAATCGTGTGAGTTAACTGTGATTAATCAACAGCCCTAATTAAAACATATTTTAGATATTTAAAGCTGGATGAGCTATTTGAATGCACCAGTTTATTCAACAAATCTATCACTTTTCTTTGTTTCTGGATTGTTCAGTAACAGCTCACTGTTTTGGCAGATTTGTTCCCTCTTCGTAATTTTTCAAAAAACATTCAATTAAATGGGTGTGCTTGGTAACATTTTGAGACTGTACAATGTGTTTATATTATATATATATATATTTATTGTGTATACGTATATACCACCTTTTCTCCTAAAGGATCCAAGATCCCTTTATATCTCAGACCCGAAAAGCAGCACAGAACACATTAAGCTCTAAGGCGGAGGGCAGCAGCCAGTATGATGACAAGTGCGCCATGAAGGTCAGCTTTGGACAAGATACCAGAGAAAAGCTCCGACTCTTACAAAATGGACCTAGAGCACTTTCATATTCAAACAAGAGGACTTACAGAGCTACTTTGTTTCAGTCTGTAGCCGCAAAAAGAACAGGAGGACTTGTACCACCTTAGAGACTAACAAATTTATTTGAGCATAAGCTTTCGTGAGCAACAGCTCACTTCGTGGGATGCATTCAGTGGAAAATGCATTCAGTGGGGAGATTTATATGCACAGAGGACATGAGACAATGGGTGTTACCAGACACACTGTAAGGAGAGAGATCAGATAAAGTGAGCTCTTACCAGTGAGAGAGTGGGGGAACCTTTTGTAGCGATAATCAATGGCCCACCTTGATTATCACCACAAAAGGTCCCCCGCCCCGTGTCCCTGCCTCCCCCCCAGCTCCCCTCGTGTCCCTAGTCCCGTCCCACTCCTGCCCCACCCCCTTTGAAACGCTGACGCTGCGCCCCACCCGAAAAGGGCCTAGCTCCGCCGTGGGGGAAGCGGGTGTGCCCCTGTTTACGGTCCCCCAGGGGAAGGCGGCGGCGGCGGCGGCGGCTCTCACGCCGTGCGTCTGAAGCCCGGCTTCTCCCCGCGAAGGCAGCTTCCGGAAGTGGGGCCGCGGAACCCGTGTTCACAGCGCCAGCGGGGCTGCCCGGGCGGGATTAGTGGGACACGCTGCGGTCAAGATGGCGGCTGCCATGGAGGGTCCACGTGGGGTCGGTACAGCCGCCGTCGCCGACTCGGCGGAGGAGAGCGGTAAAGGGCTGATGGCACCGGGTGGAGCCCTGGGCTTGGGGCGGGGGATGTAGTTAAAATAAACTGCGGCTTCGCTCCGGCCGGGGGCTCTGTGCGGTGGGGGCAGGGCATCTGCAGCCCAGGGGCTCCGCGGGGGCATGTGCAAACCCGCCGGTGTCTTCTCCCCAAAACAGCTTTCGTTCCCGTCCACCCCCCCCCCCCAATACCTTTCGCTTCTCGCCGCTGCAGGCTCCTAATGTTCCCACTTCCATTCTCCAGGCTCTCCTCCCCCCACAGGTTTTTCATAACCGCTCTTTGTTTCTCCCCACCCCCTGACGCTCTTCTGTTTCTGCTCCTCAGCCTTCCTGTGCTCTGACCCTCCCAGAGCCTCCGCACCAGCCTGCCGTGTTCCCGTTCTCCTCGCCGCTCCGCCCTGTCCCCAATCCCTGCTGCTGCCCTTAGAGCGATCTCCGTTTTCGGCTCTCTGCTGCCCAGGAGAGCCGCACGAAAAGACAACGATAGGATGCCCGGGGAGGCAGGCAGGCAGTAACTGATCTACTGGGGTAGGCGAGTTGTGCATCTCCCTGTGGAATAACAGTCACTTATCTTTCCTACATGACCCCCACAAGGGGCGTGAATAAGCTTTGCCTGAGGTGGAGAAGGCCTGTGATAGCCTGTATGTACTCAAGGCTCAGAGAAGGCCACATATGGGAGCTTAGTTACTTCTTTTCATGTGAGAAATATCCCTTGGTGCCTTGGTGTTTGATATGGAATATGGTGTGGGATGGGGAGTACAACTTTTTTTATTTTTATTTTTTGGCGGAGTCCACACTAGGTGTAGTGCTGTAGTGTAGACACTATCTACGTTGACAGGAGCGGTTCTCCACTACCTTGAGAAGCGGTAGGTAGGAAGAATTCTTCTGTTGACCTAATGCTGTCTACACTAGAAAGTTAAGTTGGCTTAACTACATTGCTTAGGGGTGTGATATAGTGATAGCCGACTTAATTTGAGCTGTAGCTCACGAAAGCTTGTGCTCAAATAAATTTGTTAGTCTCTAAGGTGCCACAAGTACTCCTTTTCTTTTTGCAAATACAGACTAACAAGGCTGCTACTCTGAAACCTTAATTGTCTAGTGTAGATCAGGCTTAGATAGAGCGCAAATAACATTTGAGACCTTGTCTACACTAGAACTTAACTTCAGTGTAACGTCATACCGAGAGTGATGTAAGTTATACTGACCTAAGCACTGGAGTAGATGGTGCTACGTTGGCAGGAGAACTTCTTGCATCGACATAGCTTCCGCACCCATGGGAGGCAGAGTAATAAAGCCGATGGGCGCTCTCTCTCTGGTAGGCTTGGAGCGTCTTCACCAGAAACACTACAGTTGCGCCGCTTGTAGCGCTTCTAGTGTAGATGCAGCCTGAGATCCTCCATTTAGGCTTTGTGGTTGCCTTCTGCTGCTCTTGTATGGGCTTTTGTGTGGTCCCTTCCTCATCACTCCCCACCCCATTTTCCTGGCACTACAGTAGCTCTAGTCTTTGCAGATTCCTGGATGTGTAAACCCCTCTGAGAGAATACTTTCATGCTCTGAGAACTGCAGTACTTGATAGCGTATGTATCCTGTGTACTGCTGTTTCTTTCCAGGAAGAAAAGAAAGTTTTATTTTTATTTATTATTGTCAATAAAAATACATGAAACATCTCCATCTGCTGCAGGATCTACAGAAATCCACTTGAGGCAGCACAGAATACAAATGCGCACAGAAGCAACCAATATAGATTAACTCAACACCAATTTACTAATATGCCTTAGTGATGTACATTTCATCCTCTAGTGATTATCTTCATCCTCTAACATGTTGTTGGCAGCATTCAAATACTAATTTACCTGATTAATCCTCTCTTAAAAATAAGGGCAAGGAAAAAAAGTTTTCTTCCGAAGAAAAATTGTCCTCTTTTCAGCCTGGGAAGAGGTATTATGTCACAAGATAAAGTATCCTGAAAATGTCAAAGTAGCCCATGTCAGAGCCCTGCTTTAGGGTGGTCTTGTTTGTTTCAGAAAGAGAGAGGTATTTTAAGAGGGGCAAAACTAGATCCTGAGAGTTTGATTCCTGTTTAAAGTCTGTGCATATGTGCTTACGGTATTACTACCACGGGTTTGGAAATTATGCGTGGATAGAATTCTTGTAGTTCAAGATAGAGCCCCAAATACCTCTTTCGATAGAACTGAATTGCTAAAACTAAACACTCCACTTTAATTTAGTCTGACCTACCTATGCTTTATCCTGCGTTTTTAAGAGATACTTCAAGATGCACAAAATTAATAATCATATGTTTGGTTGAAAAAATTTGTTTAGTGTACAAAACTTGCCTGGTAAGTAGGACTAGCCTCTCTAGTTACTACTGTGGGCTATGGGAATGTCTCTAAATTATCGAAAGAAGAAACATCACTTGGACTTTCATGATACCACATGTGATTTTTAGCTATAACGTTCCCTTTGGCAATTTTCAATTTCTGTAGTAAAGTCTTTGATTATGCCTATACTGTGGAGCCTGTGTTGGCATAGCCTGCTCCTGTAGATGCTGAAGGAGTTGTTCTGTCAGTGTAGGAACACCACCTCCCTGAAAGACATTAGCTATGTTGACAGAAGCACTCATCCATTGGCATTGCTACCTCTACGCTGGGGGTTTTGCTGGAATAGCTGTGTTGGTGGTGGTGTTTTTTCACATCCCTGAATGATATAGCTATGCCTGTAAAACTGTTAAGTATAGACCAAGGGCTTGTCTACACTACCGGCCGGATTGACGGGCAGCGATCGATCCAGCGGGGGTCAATTTATCATGTCTAGTGTAGACTGCCAATCGATAAATCGACTGCCAATCTCTCTAGCATTGACTCCGGTACTCCACCTCAACGAAAAGCGCAAGGGGAATTGATGGCTCCCATCAACACACCACAGTAAGTAGATCTAAGTACGTCTACTTCAGCTACGTTATTCATGTAGCTGAAGTTGCGTAACTGAGATCAATTCCCCCTCGTATTGTAGACCAGCCCCAAGACTGTAACTTCAAGATTTGGAGCATAACTATAACAGCGTTTAAAAGAGAACTGGATAAATTCATGGAGGTTAAGTCCATTAATGGCTATTAGCCGGGATGGGTAAGGAATGGTGTCCCTAGCCTCTGTTTGTCAGAGGGTGGAGATGGATGGCAGGAGCAAAGGGAAATGTCACTAAATCAGCAGTTTCCAAACTTTATTGGTTCGTGTACAACCACCTTCAAAAATTGTTTTGAAGTGAATGATGGAACATTAAGCTCATCTACAGAGAGCACAGTTTGGGAAATGCACTAGGTCATAGCTCTTTGCCCATTTCAAATGCTGAGTCAGACCTTAGTTCAGCGGTGCTTTGTATGTGTCTCTTGAAGTGGAACTGGTGTTTGTCTGAGGATAAAACTTTGTTCTCACACTAATCTAAGCAATGTGTAGTGTGTTTGGAGTTGACTCCAGTTCGCTGTAAATTAAATTACAGAATTGGAAGCTGCAAGGGTAGATCCATTGTTGGTTTTAATTTTTCCTGACTTCACAATCAGCTTGGTTCTGCTTTGATTTGGCTCTTCTAAATCTAGTGCTTTTTAAAGTCTGAGCCGTGAGGGTACACTTGTGTGATGTTTTCAAGCTTTTCTTCATAACTAGGAGGGCTAGAAGATTTTTTTAATGAAAGCTGAGATTCTTATATAATCGTGTGAATCCAGGAGCTGGAACTTTACATCAGATCTCACCAGATTTGTGATCAGGTTGCAAGAGTTGGCAACATGAAGGCTGTGTCTAGGATTCCTGAGTTTTGCTCATGACAGTGCCACTGACTCACTCTGACCTGCAGTAAGTACGTTTACATCTGTGGTCTGTTTCCCCATCTGTAAACTAGGAATAATACAAGCCTAGTTTAGCTAATGTTGGTAAAGAGATTCTCAGACTAAAGTTCCTGTAAAAGGGCAAAGTCAGAGCTGTGCTATTGCTTGAAGGTCTTATTTACATGAGAAATTAAAGGTGTGATTTTAAAACTGATTTAGTTGAATCAGTTCAAAAGGCTGTGTGGCTCTCTTAAACCAAAATAAATCTCAACACTGGGGTTTTCACTGATTGAACCACATTGGTTTAAAAACCCATATAAATTAAACTGGTCCAACTTTGAGGTATAGATGAGGTCTAGAGTAGAATGCTGAATAATTGGCAAATTCTTTGTGTTAGGGAATAGACAACAGCTATGTGATTCTCCACTCTCACATGTCCAAAAACCTGCTGGTGACTCAAGATAGCAGCGTGAAGATGTCTTGGTAGCATAAGGACAGTGCATCTTTTAGAAATTACTAAATAAGATGGGATGATGGCATAATAAGCATCTAAATGAGAGTCTTCCATTTTATCATTGCACTTACTCCAGGATCAGCACTCATGAAGTTCTTTCCTCCTTTCATGACATGGACACAGAACACTAATGGAATTTGTATTCTGTGGCTTAAATAAATATACTTCTCAGAACACAGCAGTTTTATTCGATCTAAATGCTGACTGTTCACAATAGTGTTCATATAAGCATAACAGGGCCAGATCATGATACCTTTACTTGTGTTTTATAGTACCTTGCACCGTGAGAAATTCCATTGAAGACAATGAGACTACACATGGAGTAAGGTATCCAGTGAGTGCAATGGTACTGCAGTTTGGTCTGGGTTACTGAGGGGCAGCATGGTTTTGTGCTTAAATTATGAGCCTGGGCTCAAGTCTCTTACGTTCTATTCATGGCTTCATCTTGCTTTGCCGGTGATCTTGGACAACTAACTTAACATACCCATTTGCTGGGCTTGTAAAATTCACTAACCACTTGGCCCTGTACAAATAAGAAAATACCCCTCAGAAGCGGGGTGGGCTGATTCTGACTCTGGAATGAAATAGTTCAGTTCTTCAAAGTCTTTTTTCCCCTTCCTTCAGCTAGGTATTCTGTACAGTTAACTAAACATGTGTTAAGGATTTGCTTTCATTAAAAGTGCATGTACAAAAATTCCAGTTGTAAGCTTTGTGAGCCTCGGTTCTGACTGTGTGTTCTCCCTTAGGCCTGACTCTTTTTATTGCTGTCCAAATGGAGCATTTTGAGAACCGTATAGTTGGGGACATGGTGTGGTGATGGGGATTGTAGGTTAGGGAAATGGAGGGTGAAAGATGAGATTAGAGAAGGGAGGAGGAAGGTGAAGGGAAAATGCATGCTGGGCACTGTTTTATGAATAGGCTCTTCTGTGGTTCTGCTTGCTGTAGAATCTGTCTGGAATGTGAGGAAGAAAAATTGTCGTGTTGAGGGTGGGGTGTGTCTTCGTCTGGAATACATCTGCTGGAGGTTTCATGAAGCCAGCAGTAAAATACCATTAGAGTATCTTAATATTATAGACAAAAGGTATTGCACCCAACATGAAGTAACTCTACTTTGGATCTCACTGTGGGGAATAAATCACTGGACTGGAAGCTGGTTGTTGCTTAGGAGCCAGTGATCATGTCCTGATTATATTCAATAAAGGCAAACAGAAGACCATCTTAACCAACAATAAATATATTTGCTGCTTCAAAAAGTGTAGTTTTCCAAAGCTGAGGAAATTTATGAGTGAAATTGACTGGGAGGCAAAATTTAGACAGAAAAATGTGAATGAAAATTGGGCGTTCTTTAAGAAGCATTTTTATGTATTAAGAAAGAGGACAACTTTGGCTAAAAACTCATCTTGTGAAGACTGCAGTCAGAAATAAAAAAGCAGTATATTTACAAATGGAATAAAAGGGAAAATTGATAGCAGTCAATATTAATGAGAAGTTATGAAATGAAGAAACTTGTCAGGGAAGCTAAAGACAGCAGGGGAAGATCCATGTCTGTCAGGGCTAAAGACAATAAGTTTTAAAATATACTAGGAACAAAACAAATCTTAGTAATAGTAATGGCCCATTAGTAGCTGGAGATGATAAAATTGTTAATGATGGAGAGAAGGCAGAAGTGTTCAATAAACATTTCATTTTTTTATTTAGATAGAAGCAGGATGAAATATGCATATCCTAAGGACTTTCCATTTCATTAGTAACTGCTAACCAAGGATGACGTTAAGTACAATAAACATTTTTTTTAAATCAGCAAACTTGGAGAACTTGTACCCAAGAATCCTGAAAGAGCCGGCTTGGGGAATCTCTGGCCTGTTGGCATTAATATTTCGTAAATCTTGGAATACCAGGGAAATTCCAGAAGACTGGAAGAGTGCTAATGTTATGCCTATATTCAAAAAGGGCAAGCAGGAAGACCCAGGTAATTATAGGCTAGTTAGCCTGACATCAGTCCCAGGCAAAATAATGGAAGCGCTGATATGAGAGTCAGCTGATAAGAATTATAGTATAGGAATATAACTAATGCCAGTCAACATGATTTTATGGAAAATAGATCTTGTCAAACACACCCGATTTCATTCTTTGAGGAGATGACAAGTTTGGTTGATAAAGGTAATTGTCAAATAAATTCGTTAGTATCTAAGCTGCCATAAGTACTCCTGTTCTTTTTGTGTAGATGTAATATACTCAGATTTTGTAAGGTGTTTGATTTAGTACTGCATCATATTCAAAGCAGCGAATTGGTTTCTAGTAAAAATAAAACAAGTTTATTAAACAAAAAGTCATGGGTTTAAATGATAACAAGTATAAGAAGTAAGGAGAGAAAAGATTAAAAACAAATGAAAACACACTTTTAAAACTAAAGCTTAATTTCAGCAAATAACAATCTTTGCCTAAGCAGGTGTTTCACTTATCAGTTCCCAGAGTCTTCAGCCTATTGGTTGAAGGATACAAAATTCTGTGATTTCAAGAGCTCTGGACTCTTTAGTTCCTCAAAAAATGGATGCAAAAATGGCGTTTTCTTCCTCCATAGCTTCGATCTTCCCAGAGTTCACTGACCCTGCTTCAAGAGGCACAAATGCTTCATCGGAGCGCAGTCTCCATTCCCTGCAAGATTGTTTATTAGTCATCTCTCCCTACTTGCTCTCTTGATGCCTCTGTTTACCTTGCATAAAGGTGGGGTTTTTTTTTGGTCTTTGGTCACAGCTTGCTTAATTTACATGAGACACACATTCCTTTGTCTGGAACGGGTGTGACTTAGGCACTGCTTACCAAGTACATTTTAAGAACATATTTGCAGCACATCTCTCTAAAGTCCGTTATGGGTTTTACTGTACGTACATCATGCAAGAATATTAATGATCAGTGAGTTATTGGTTTTCCAGTGATATACTGAAAAGGTGGCATGTAATAAATAACGTAACAGGGTGCCAGCTAATACTGGGGTGCTATAAAGGTCCTAGATGTTTCTAGTGGGGTTCTGAAGGGGCTAATATTAGGCTTGATGCCATTCAACAATTTCATCAATGATCTGGAAGTAAATATAAAATCACTGCTTATAAAATTTGTGGATGACACAAAGATTGGTAGATAGCGATCAGGACAGGGCAGCCATACAGAGTGATCTGGATTGCTTGTAAGCTGGGTCCATTGAAGTAATACAGCCAGTTGAGGGTCATTGATATAGCAACAGTGTTTGCAGGCCATATGTACAGAGTGAGGGACAGTATGCTATAAAGCAGTGACTGAGTAGGCGATGTAGGGGTAGTAGTGGACAAGCCACTGAACATGAGCTCCTAGTGCGATATTGTGGGGGAAGAAGGGTCAATGTGATCCTTAGGTGCGTAGATGTGAGAAGGAGTGGGGAGATTGTTTACCTCTGCATATGGCATTGGTGAGACCAGTGCTGGATAGTGTGTCCAGGTCTGGTGTCTACATTTTATAAAGGATGTTGTAAAATTGGAGAGGCTGCAGAAAAGGGCCACAAAAATGACTCTAGGGCTGGAGAAAACACCTTACAGTGAGAGACTTAAAGAGCACAGTCTGTTTAGTTTTTCAGAAGGAGTTTTGAGAAGTGTCTTAATTAGTGTGTAAGTAGGATCTGGTATTTCCCCGTGAGGGTAAAGAGTTCTTTAATCTAGCAGGGAAAGGCATAACAAGAACCAAGGACTGGCAGCTGAAGCCAGACAAATTTGAATTTTAACCTTGAGGATGATTAACTACTGGAACAAGCTACCCAGGGAAGTGGCTTATTTTCAGTAGCTTGATATCTTTTAATCAAAACTGGATGACTATCTGCAAGTTGTGCTTTAGCCAAACAGAAGTTATCGGGCTCAGTACAGGGCTAAGTGGATGAAATTCAATTGCCTGTGGTATACAGGAGGTCAGACTAGATGATCTAATTGTTCCTTCTGGCCTTAAACTCTATAAATCTATGAAACAATGCCCCTGTACAATAGTGAAGTATTGTCTCAGTTGTGCAGATGGAGAACTGAGGCACAGAGAGAGACCTTTACTCTTACTAGGTAGTACCTTATTCCTCAAATAGTCCCATTAACTTTATTGAGTTACTTGTTACCCTTACTCATGTTGGGTAGCATCTGGCCCTTAGTGACTTGCCCAGGGTCACACAGAAAGTTTATGTTAGAGAGGAATTAGTTCAAGCCTTCCTGAGTGGCAGACCAGTTCATTAACCACAAGGCAGTCCTTTTTCTGAGGGTTCAAGCATGGTATGAGAATTAGAGCGCCTGAAGCAGCTGTTACCAAAGTCAGTGCAAAAAGTGAAGGGGTTGCCTAGATGTGCTGGGAAAGATCTCTCCTTGTTCCCAGGTCAGACTTCAAATCTGCTTGCAAACTGGGGAGAACTGAAACTCATTAAGGGCAACCCAAGAGGTAGCTAACAGAACTGCTGTCCCACATGTTGCCCTCCAAAGGAGGCTTCATCAGTCTGCTTTGGTGGTTGCGGGATGTATATCGGGGTGGGGGAGGGGGACTGGTGGCCCTTTCTCTCTCCCCTCTTCTCACATGCTGCTGCTGTTTGTTTTCAAAATCCAGTATTACTCTGCGCAAAAGAAAGAAGTAGGTATTACCCATATTCTCAGGGGAGATGTGAGCATCTCTTTGTGACATAGGAGCTCAATGTTCTGGGAAAGTTTGAGCATTCTGGATCCTAGAGCCACAAAACAGCCCTCCGGATACTTTCTATCTGCCTAGGAAATTGTGCTTTGAGGGTCTTTTACTTTAATGTGGCTTGTGCGCTAATCTGAATTAGCTTTGTGTATCTGTGGGTAAATGTCATGCAACCATTAGGCTAATCTGCCTGGTTCTATTTATTTAAACACTAGGTGTCAGTGTTGCGGTTTTAATATTTTACCAGAAAAGCTTTTTCTCAGAAATCTGCCGCTTTTAATCATCAAAATGTTCATTAATCCCATAATAAATTGTCACTGCTCTCTTCTCTTTCCTCCCACCCCAACTTCTTAAATCATCACTCAGAGGAGCAAATGCTTACACAATGTACTTTGTAATAAATTCATTATAGTGATGTATGCCCCACTGGACGTCGTCTTGAGGAATTAGTTGTAACAGGAAATGGTGCGTGGTCCTGAACTCTTGTAACATTTCAGCTTGAGAGGAATTCTCTTAGTGGTAGGATATTCAGAAGCAGGGATTCTGACATCTTCCCTCTTTCTTCAGGTTCTGAGCGGAGTTCAGAGCTCCCAGAAGACGACTTCTCTTCAGAGGGCGAAGCATTAGACGGTGACGATGAGGATGAGGCGATGGCCCACGGCAAAATGGATGAAAATGAAGCAGAATCCCAGGCTGGCCCAAGTGCGGGTTGGGCGGAGGCCATGGCGAAAGTGCTTAACAAAAAGATTCCCAAAAGTAAATCCACCATATTGGTTAAAAGTAAAGAGCTGGAGAAGGAAAGAGAGAAAGAAAAACAAGAGAAGCTAGAGAAAAAGAGGCAGGTGAGAAAGAGACCGTCTGTGATATCCCTGTGCAGTACTGCCACTCCAGCACTTAATGGAGGCTCCTGAGCTGGAGCACCCTGGTAGAGATGGGGAAGCTGCTGGTAGACGTCCTCCATGAGGACTCCTCATCTCAGAGCCATAACAAGGGCATATTTGCACCCAGGGTGAGCAAGCATATTTGCATCCCCTACTGTTTCTTTTTCCCCTTCATTTCTTCGCCCCATTTTTCCGCCCCTGTGGCTATGTGCCCTGGGCGGCTGCCCCCACTTACCCTGCCCTGGTTATGGCCCTGCCTCACCTTTGGGATCTGTTCACTCATTTGAACTGAAATAGCCTGAATCTGCTGATCTTCAGAGCATGCTGAAGACCTGTGTCTTTACCCACACAGGCTTTTGAGTCGCAATAAGGTCTGATGTTTGGCAATGGGAGTATTGTGTTTGGATTTTGCTCTCATTTTGGATTAAGTATGTGTTGTTGTGGGGGGGGGGGTGAAAAGCATCTACTGGTTCACTTTTCTTAAGACTATTTTTAATATGTGGTATAGGTGTGTTCTGGAGTGTTACAAACCGAAATAAATGTGAAGTTCCAATGTCTTAGTATCACAGAAGCTAGAGACAAAAAAGTTGCCTTGGGCTAAATTCTGCTGTGACTTATGCCACCATTTGACTTCTGTGTGTAAATCAGAGTGGAGCTTGATTACCTGGTCTAGTGGATCACGCTGCCAGTTCAGTTTCTTTCCCAATGAGTATTTTTTCTCATGTTCTGTCTATGGTTGTTTTAAGCATCCCAGGTTGTATGCAGTTTTGAAATTGTTAGGTGACTAAAACAAAATTGTGTAGCTGATTAAGTAGGTTAGCTGCTTTTCCTATGAAGAATTGTGATTAAAAATAGAAAATTGATTTACCTTGCTATTAAAAGTACAGAATAGAAACACTTAAAACAGTATTGTTAGGCCAAGGCATTTAAATGGGATGACCCAGTCAGTGGTTTGGTTAGCTGGGACATACCGTGGTGGTTACAGCCCACCTTTTAAATGCAAAGCATTGCAGTAAGCAATCTAATCAGTTACTGTTCACGCTGAATACCTCGTGTTATCCAATAAATATGTGGGGTACTGCAAATTAGTGGTGGTCTGTGAGGCTGTAAACTGATTTGTTCACCCCTGGATAAACTTGAAAACAGTCTGCCTTTTATTAATTCCATGCTGATGGAAGCTAGAATAGGGTAATTCTTTTGATCAAAGGCCAGAGCATGGTCATAAACTCATGAATTCATAGTAGTCTGCCTGGAATGATAAAGATAAGGACTCTAATTTCATGAACGAGTTTTTGTATGATGCAGACTTAATGTAAGATCCCTATGACTAGAACACTGTTAAATTGCTTTTAAAAAAATGATGCAAACTTGTTCCTGAAACAGGGGTGGGGAATACAACTTTCCACTATCATAGTGGAAATAAAAACACTATTTACCGCGGCTGATGATGATGGCAGAAAATATGGTTAGGCTGGATTTTAAAACAGCGAGCTTCAAAAGAAAACTGAAATGTTTTATATCTCAGCTCTTTTTCCAGTGGACACAGTGTTCTCCCTCTTTGGTCCAAATTCTTTCCTTTATAGCTTTCTTCTTGCTATGTCGTTGCCCATCACAAAATACAGTGCATTGTATGATAGTCTGTTCGATGGAGAACATCAAGTAGTGTAGGCCCAAAATGTGACACACCTTTATTGGCTGAATATTTAACTTAAACTTTTTGTCTACTATGCTGTTCCTACACTGTGTGATGAAGAATATGATTTTTGGGGTAGGGGTGGGGAAGGATTCCTTTTTGAATAATTTTCTCCTGGTTCGCCACTCTCTTGCTGAAAAGGGATGAGCTGAGTTTCCTCCCAGACTCCATTAATCCTTCTAGGTCACCCAGAAGATTTTCTGCAGGGGGACTCTCAAGGGCTTTTTATCTCCTTGTGGGGACAAGAGGCTGTTTGAGAATCTGATTGGCATCCTTGTGTGAGTGTGGCAAACTTATCGCAGGACCTGTTGTCCAGCCCCATAAAAGTACTATTTAGAAGTTTCCCTAACCCTCATCCAAACTGAGTCCAAATGATTTATCATCTTTGTCGTCTTACAGAATATCCTATCAAAGTATGTTACATTTTAAAATGCCTAATGTTTTTTCACATAACAATATTTATAACCTAGCTTGATAAAAAGCGGGAGTGGGAAATGATGTGCAGAGTGAAGCCAGATGTTGCCAAAGACAGAGAAAGGGAGAGAAATTTTCAGAGAATTGCCACACGGTAAGAAAGTGTTTTGTCCTTCTTCTTCTTCTTTTTTTTTAAAGCAGATATAAAAGCATGTGTGGGTAATCTGTTTCCAATCAGATAGAACTCTTAAGAAGTGACTCGTGGGAGCCAAGTGATTTATACCCAGGTTTGCCTTGTACAGTATTGAGTTCAACAAACTAGTTCAGAAGTCTTATAAGAACATAAGAATTTAGGCAAGAATTTAATGTGTTAAGTGTTTGCCCAGCATGAATGTGGTGCCTGAGCTCGTTGTTTTGTTAATTCTGTACTTAAAAATATGTAGATCAATCACATCTACCACGTTCTTTTTTTTTTCCTCTACAGAGAGTTCACCAAATTCATTTTTCTCGTGGTCAGATTACTGTCTCACATTACCCCAGTGCGGTATCACGTGTCTTTGGCAGAACACATTGCTGGTGTTCGCTCTATATTTACTTTTATTTTGCTGAGGTCACTCTGATACTCCTTCCCCTTTCTGTCTTGATAGGTGGGAGTGGCAGGTGATAGATTTGGGGGGCGGGGTAGAGCATTGTCCTGTGGTTGACTCCAGCACTTTGTACCATCCTTCAGCAACTTGATGTGACTGCTCAATAACCTGTTAAGAACTCTGGCTCTAGTTCAGTTATGCATGTGAGTAGCCCCAATGACTTCATTGGGACTATCCATGTGCTTAAGTACCTTGCTGAATTGGGTCCTATAGCAGTAGATGTCTGTCTGGTTCATAGCAGCAGGTGTGAAGAATGAGGTGCATTATGATTACTTGCTCTTTAGCTGTGTGAGAGCCTTAAGTCACTGTTTTTGAGAACAGTAGTTGATGGTCTTTTTAGCATTTGCACCAGCACAACGTTGTTGTTGTGGTGTGTGTGTGTGTGTGTGTGTGTGTGTGTATCTGTGTATCTATAATGACAACCTGATGCAAAATGCAATATCATCTTTCTTTTCAACCCTAGGGGTGTTGTGCAGTTATTTAATGCTGTCCGGAAACACCAAAAGAATGTTGATGAGAAAGTGAAAGAAGCAGGGAATTCCAATAGGAAACGTGCTAAACTGATGTCATCTGTTTCAAAGAAAGACTTCATCAATATGCTCAGAGGGAATGAAGATGCTAAAAGAGAACAAAGTATTTCTGGGAAGACCCTGAAAAGCAAACAGGTAGGCATGGTCTTGCTGAATTGACACGAGGGGTTCTCTTACTGTAGTTGTTTATCCTGGTTTTATTTGATGGTGCATAAATACTTCTGCCCTTTAGCACAGTGGTTCTCCAAGTATGATTTTTGTGTGTGGGCTGCTTAGACAGAGAGTGAGCGTCTCTAGACCCATCTCCCCTCACATCGTAATCTTTAGTCAATTCTGTGAAGCTCAAGGTAGACTTTGATGATCCATTGATCACAGTGAGTACATTTTGCTTTAGTGATACGTAAAAGTTGGACTCATGCTTGGTACATAATCAGAGACAGTAATAGAAACTATTGGATTTTAATGGCTTGTGACTTGATTTGAAGTCTCATACAGTAGTAAATGGCTGGGACTTTCCTGTGGTAACATGTGGCACAGTGATCTGTTCAACTTACGCATTCACGCAGGTAGTCTCTTTGTACTCTCTTGCTCTGAAATGATTATCAAACTTGAAAATGAAGGGCTTTGCACAGGTGTGAGGGTGATTATTGTTATGGAAAGATATACTATATTGGCAGGGAATAATAAGGGTATTTAGAGACTTTTTTAAAGATCAGATGTGGGGGTTTTGTTCACTTAATTGTATGCACGTTAGCCAGGTTTCAGAGTTGGTTAGGACATTATGCATTTTTCTTTCCTAGAGTTATCAAACAAAATCACATGGTCATTACAAACAGATACTGGAGTGACACAGATTTTTTTGGATTTGCCAACCCTTGGACCAATCCTGTGAACCCCTCAAGTATCTCGGGTTTAATAACAAGTTGCTCAGACTTTTCTCTTGCTTTCTGAACTTTCAGAAGCTGCCCCATTTTTAAGCATATTTGTGCTTGTGTTTGAACTTTATGCTTGGTAGCGGGTGGAATACTTCTCTTGGCCCAGATCCACACAAGCTAACTAAGTGCTTTTGTGTGCCAGGAAGAAATACTTTAATCGGTTGGGAGACAACAGTTTGTCATATGTTTTTTGTTTATGTGCATTTAGGGAGCGTGTTGAAACACTCCATGGCATGAAGAGCACTTAGAAATTTCACTCAAGTGTGGTATTAAAGTATTTTTAAAACTCTTTGGGTAATTAGAGCAAGTTAGCTTGGTGCTGACGCTTTATTTTTCTTAAAATCTCTGTAGCTTGCGTGATTTCAAATAGCAAAAAAAATATAGCTGGTATAACAGCAATGCCCATTAGTGCTGCTGTGGTTAAGAGTCTGACAGTATTATAACTCCATGGGCAGGGGAGATTGTACATCACCCTGCAAAAATATGGCAGGCTGAGATTGGGCCAATAGTTAAGGAATTATTGAGGGTTTTTTTATTCCTATCCAATTGTCGAGTGGCAATTGTCCAATTTCTTCTAGTGACAAGGTCACAAAATGTAGGTTTCAAGTGCCTCTTTGTGACCTTATATACACTAGAATGACTGACTTTGAAGAAGTCAGCATGGGCATGTTCCTTTTCTGATGCTTTGGAAAATCAAATACAACTCTCTGGATGCTGAATGGTGGTTTGTCTTTTTTCTAGCTTTATAGCTGATGTCATCTTTTCCCCCATCTGAACAAATTTACAAAGTCCAGGACTTCCTGAGTTGGGGCATGAAATTTGGGGGTTTTGCAGCTTGGATTTGGGGCCAAATTTGCACTTTTATAACAGCCATATCTTCTCTGTAGATACCCCAGCTCTTCTCCTCCTGTCATTTCCTTTTGTCACCATGGTCCTCCAGCTAGGACTGAACCAAGTAAGAAACTTTGTTCAAGCTGCTCTTAATCAAGTCTTGTTTTCTCTTGGTAACGTAGCTCACCAGTTATGGAAACGCCTAGCTCGTACCTTGATGAGAGAGACTGAGGCAGGTATCTAAACCTAGGTTTTCTCATTATTAGAATACAAATGTTCTGCCACTGAACAGGACTTGTATCTTTTCTCACATCATACCTTGCTGTTTGGAGTTTGTGGATCTTTTGGGGGATTTTGAGTTGTATATTGGAAAGAGCAGGAGATTTTTAGCTTGTGTGTAAGATCTGAAGGCAGGTTTTGGTAGCAAGTTGCTGTGCATTTCAGCGTTGGAGTGTATGGTCTTTACTGTTCAAAAAACGTGAATATGTTTATTTCAACATAAAGAAAAGGAGTACTTGTGGCACCTTAGAGACTAACCAATTTATTTGAGCGTGAGCTTTCGTGAGCTATAGCTCACTTCATCGGATGCATACTGTGGAAACTGCAGAAGACATTATATACACACAGAGACCATGAAACAATACCTCCTCCCGCCCCACTGTCCTGCTGGTAATAGCTTATCTAAAGTGATCATCAAGTTGGGCCATTTCCAGCACAAATCCAGGTTTTCTCACCCTCCGCTTCCCCCCCCCCCCCACAAACTCACTCTCCTGCTGGTAATAGCCCATCCAAAGTGACCACTCTCTTCACAATGTGTATGATAATCAAGGTGGGCCATTTCCTGCACAAATCCAGGTTCTCTCACTCCCTCACCCCCCTCCACAAACCACACACACAAACTCACTCTCCTGCTGGTAATAGCTTATCCAAAGTGACCATTCTCCCTACAATGTGCATGATAATCAAGGTGGGCCATTTCCAGCACAAATCCAGGTTTTCTCACCCCACTCCCCACCCCCATACACACACAAACTCACTCTCCTGCTGCAGGAGAGTGAGTTTGTGTGTGTGTGTGTGTGTTGGATTTGTGCTGGAAATGGCCCACCTTGATTACCATGCACATTGTAGGGAGAGTGGTCACTTTGGATGAGCTATTACCAGCAGGAGAGTGAGTTTGTGTGTGTATGGGGGTGGGGGGGTGAGAGAACCTGGATTTGTGCAGGAAATGGTCCACCTTGATTATCATACACATTGTGAAGAGAGTGGTCACTTTGGATGGGCTATTACCAGCAGGAGAGTGAGTTTGTGGGGGGGGGGGGGGGGGCGGAGGGTGAGAAAACCTGGATTTGTGCTGGAAATGGCCCAACTTGCTGATCACTTTAGATAAGCTATTACCAGCAGGACAGTGGGGTGGGAGGAGGTATTGTTTCATGGTCTCTGTGTGTATATAATGTCTTCTGTAGTTTCCGCGGTATGCATCCGATGAAGTGAGCTGTAGCTCACGGAAGCTCATGCTCAAATAAATTGGTTAGTCTCTAAGGTGCCACAAGTACTCCTTTTCTTTTTGCGAATACAGACTAACACGGCTGTTACTCTGAAATATTTCAACATAAACAATCTAAAAGATGCCAATCCCACACTGTGGGCACCCTGCCATCAAGTAGAATACAGTTCATAACAATTAACCACCACTACCACCCCACCCACATAAGCAAGAAGTCAGCAAGAAGAACATAGCAGAACAAACTCTCCCCGTGAAAGCCAACCTTTCTTCAACCAATCCTTTTGGTATGCAGATAGTTAGGCTACACTCAGGAGTGTATCTGCTGTAAGTTGCAAATGCAGCGAACTGTGCACTCACGAACTGCCATGCCCTGAGGGAATGCTAATTTTTCTCCTCCCCTCCAATATCCTGGTAGCTGATCTTTGGAGAGGCACTGATGGGAACTTTCAGGGATCATTAGTATCTACTTTTTGCTGTGATTTGCTTATTAAGCATCTGTGTACAGATCTGTGCGTGTGAACATTTTGGAGACATAGAAGTCCACCTGTGGAATTGGGATTTATTTCAGTAGCATAACCACCCTTCTAATAGGGTTTGCGGTGTTCCTTCTTTACCCTTACAGCTTGTTATCTTAGTTAGATGAGGGATTACTTGTACCTTTCCTAGAACTTTATTTGTTGTATATGGTCTTGTATACTTGCTTTATATCCATGAGCCTAAAATCTTTTCAGTGTTTCCTTTTTTTCCCTAATACAGCTACAAAAGGAGGATCCATGGGCTTCTGTTAAATATTTGCTCATACAATTTAAAACTGTAGCCCTTTTGCAGGTTGTGTGTGCCCAGATGGGAGTAATTACTTTTCTGACTTGAAGCCAAGGGGTTTTGCCTTTCATATCATTAACTGTTTATCAAGATATTTCTTAATCCTGGCTGAGCCAGCTAGCTTGTGGAATATTTTTTTTTTTTTTTTCCCCAAGGTACTGTGCACAATACTTGTTTCTGGTCAAGATCCCCCACCTTATCAGAAAGCCTTTCTACGTGGGACAAGAATGTAGTCGTTGAAAAGTACTCCAGTTTTTTGAGCATTTCTTTTACAGTGAGATGTGTTTTGTTTTGAAGTCCTTCTAGAACAGCCTTTCAGTACAGTGCATTGTTTGTCTTTCTCTTCCGCCCCCCCTTCCTTCCCTCCTGACCCCACTAAAACAATAATATAATCTGCAGTATCTACAATCTTTTTTAAAAAAAAAAGGAAAAAAGTGCCTGTGAAAGGTGCTATATTGCCAGCTCTGGGGACAGAAATCCTCTGTGAATCCACAGAACAGGTACAACATGGATAGTGGCAGTGCTGGGAAGTGTGCCCTGCTCTCCAGATAAGCCTCAACCGTAAATTGGAAGGACAGCCTCTAGGGTGGGAAAAGTAACTTGTCTTTCATGCCCATTCAGTCCTTGACCTCTGAGATAGACCTCAAGGGAGTCGATTTAGGTAATGAACAAGTGTCTGTTGTAAAATTACCCACAGGTGCTCTGAGGCTACAGATGCATTTCCCAGAGGCCCCCAGACCACAAATGTGATAACTTTGATTAGTAGGAGCCTGGCCCGGATTAGAAGTGATGATCTGGAGGTGAATGGTAATGGGGTACAGAATCCGCATAGTTCTCTCTTAGGAAACTTTGTCTTGCTTTCCAAGGCCCTTTAGGTAAAATGTAAGAAACCTGTTTTGTCTACCAAAGACTTCTTGGTGCTTACTTCTTAAGGATACATTTCAGAATGTGGTTACTGAGACACTAACACAGACCATCGTGCCTAATTTGATGCAGGTTGAATTAAAAGAGAGTCCAATCCATCTTTTGTGAAAGTTCAGTGC